CATTCCCAATAGCCTTCAGAACCCACCAAATCTGTTCTACTTTTCTTCCCAGGTTGATCCATGTAATTCCCCTTGAGCCCTCCTTGTTATTTTGCCTCTCTGGGTCTGTGGATTAACAGTTATCCATTAACTAATATCTACTATCAACTTATAAGTGATTAAATACCCTGTTTGTGTTTTCTGAGACTGTGTTACCTTACTTGGGATGATTTTTTTTCTAGTTGCATCCATTTGCCTGTAAGTTTCATGATATAATATTGAAAGCAACTGATAATATTCTACTAGTAAATAGCCCACAATTTTCCTATGGGGTCTTAAATTAGGGGCAATCTATAGTTTTTCCTGTTCATGGATCTTATAAGCAAAACTGCTATGAACATAGTTGTGCAAGTGTGGTTTTGGTAGGTTGGATCATCTTTTTCAGTGTTTGCCCATCAAGTGGAAAATTTGGTTCTTGAGGTAGACAGATTAACAATATTCACAGCAATATGCATATTAATTTTTGTAGTGTATTTAAAAGTTTGTACTTCCACTAGCAATGTAGGAGCATCCAGATTGCTGCACATTTTTGTCAACATGTGTTGTTACTTGTGCTATTGATCTGACATTCTTAACAGGTATAAGATCAAATCTCAAAATACTTTTGATTTACATTTTCCATATGGCCAAGGATCTTGAAAATTTAAGGTTTGCTCAGTCACTTGTGATTCCTCTATTGAGAATTCTATGTTTACATATGTATCCTATATTTAAGTGATGTTTTTTATTTATTATTTATAACTCTTTGAATTCTTTACATATTTTGGATTTTGGCTCTCTGTTAGATGTGGAATAGGTGAAAATCTATTTCCATTTCCATTCTGTAACCTTTTGTTTTCTCCTATTGAGGGTGTTCTTTGCCTTACAGAAGTTTTTTTCAGTTTCATGAGGTCCCATTTATTAATCGTTAATCTTAGTGACTGAGCTATCAGTGTCCTGTTTAGAAAATTGTCTCTTACGAGTATGTTCAAGGCTAATACGTATTTCCTCTTGTATCAATTTTAGTGTGTCTGGTTTTATCTTGAATCTTTCATCCACTTGTTTTGGTAATAAGTCATTCCTGTCCCATTATTTAAGTCTATTTACTATTTAGTTATATATAGAGTCATAAATTGAGTGTTGTTTTATGATGCTAGACTTCAGTACTGAAAACCACAATTCATATCTCAGTAAGATCCTTTTGCCACAACTTAATTAGATAAAAACACTTCCCAAATTATCCAAAGACATAGGTTTGACAGGTGGATATTGCAGATACATTGATCAGAAATGAAATGTGTGTTCCCTATTCACTCACTCCACTTCATCACATATTTATGTCAACTTCATCTGTGCTCTAAATGAATCATGAATTGAAAGCATAATTTACATTTTGAGTTTCCCTACTCCCTTCTAGTCTCCAATTGCTCACACATTCTATGTGTACTGATAAAATTTTTAAAACATTCTATTTCAGTGAGGTTAGAAATTAAAACCTAGTTTTATTTCATGCTATCTGAAATTTATCAATGACTTCAATAATAACAAAAGCAATAGTGAATACAAAAGGATTAAAAATAAAAGTATACATAAAATATTATGTGGAAAAATTAAGTATAATTTAAATTATACATACATTTTCAGATAAAACATTTTTTTCAACTAGTATAAAAGATGAGTTTAGGTAAAGAAAGATCAATATAAGAATTAAATACATTTTTACAACCTTATCTAAAAATTCAATATCCAGAATATTCACTATTCATTGAAACTCAAAGAAAATGTTTCCAAACTACATCAGTGAAAACAGATCATTATGGAGAAAAAACAAAGCACAGGTAAAGGATAATAGATTTCTTCTATTGCTTGAACAATGCAGGATATAACCTTCTTCAAAGTTTTCATTATTTTTTTTTTCTTAGTGATAAAAATCACAAAATGTTCTTGGATGAATTTGAAAGAAAATTGGAAAAAACATGTGGAAACCCCAATCTTCATCCAAGGAAAATGTGAAAGGCAGAGCAAAAGTGGAAATATCACTACTGTTCCCTGCCTGATGGATGACTGCCTTCCTGATTATGAAGCAGCATAAGGAACCCC